GTACGTAGCCCGATGGCACCACAATCGCAAGATAGATTTAATGGAAAAAGAGTATACTCGTCGGTAATTCGATTCGTGTATTTAACACGCTTTTTTAGGCTTGGCCTGTATGTACATGTATGTTTGATTAATTTGAAACTTCGCAACACGCATACATTTACATTTTACTATGTTTTCATAAATCTCCTCTCATATACAGGGTGACTTCGAAGTTGAGTCATTTATTTTAACAGTGAGTAGATCTGATCAAAAGAAATGTTTTTTTCCTTTACCATTTTTCTGGTAAAATTAAAGTAACAAAGTTATAGCCCTTTGGAAGTTTGAGTATCGCCCTGTCTCAATAATAATATTATGTGCTCGTGTTTGGCAACAACGGATATAATCCGCCTTATCGGTTCATCGCATCGGAAACAAAAAAGCGAAAGAATTTGGAACGATGTTTTTACAATTATTTTATTCAGTTGTATACAGTCAGTGTCAGTCGGTAACGCGTGAGTGAATAGTGGTGTCTGTTGCGTGGCTCAAACGAAATAAAAAATAGCACATGTTTACGAAAATGCTGAACTTGTGGACATGATTCTTATTTACGCGGCATCACGGATTTATGCGGATCGGTTTCCCAATCGAGTGCAACCAACCCCTCGTGCCTTTGTTAATGTAGTACAAAGGGCTCGTGAATCAGGTGACTTAAGACCTCACAGGGGAGGGCATGCCAGTGTTCCAAGACCGCACGATCAAATACAGGTCCGCACTGAAATACTTGTCGGGAGGATACTTTATAAAACAAGGTAACATTTTTTTTTATTTTTACACACATATTTTGTTTTATCTTCCTTTTACAATCATTATCTGAAAATTAATGACTCAACTTCAAAGTCACCCTGTATATACTAAGTAACATATAAATCCGAACACCCAGTTTAAATGGTTTTATTTTAATAAAATTTTGTATAAGTACTTAATGAAGCATAATAAGTAAATGATAAACATTTCAAAATGATTGCACTGCTTCAAAGCCCTTTGACCTTTAATAATGTGTGGATGCACCCTGATGTGCTACGCATTCTCCAACGCGCCTAGCGCTGCGGTCGCCGTTTAGCGCATGCGCGTCGTGTAGCTACATCTGTTTACGTGATTTTAAAATGCCTCCACCGATTGAGAATCCCGCAGACTGCGAAGTGCGCGCTGTAATACGGTTTCTCGGTGATCAAGGCTTCAAATCAGTTGACATTCATCACCAAGTCGGTGAAGTGTATGGTGAAAACGTAATGAGTGATGGAATGGTGCGGAAATGGGTTAGGGCCTTTAAAGATGGCCGCACAAACATTCATGATGAGGAACGAAGTGGGAACCTTCAGTCATTACCGATGACCTGATTCAAAAAGTGGACTGTAAAGTGAAAGAGAACAGACGATTCACGATTTCGTCCTTAGCTGAACAGTTTCCTGCTGTCTCAAGAAGTGTTCTTTACGAAACTGTGTCCGAACGTTCAAATTATCGGAAATTGTGTTCACGCTGGATGCCAAAAGTGTGAAGCAGTGGTTGTCTACTCAGGCGACAAGCTTCTTTGACGATGGCATACAAAAGCTGGTCCCAAGATACGATAAATGCCTCAATCGTAATGGGAATTACGTAGAAAAGTAGAGTAATGTAGGGCTTTTCAAAGGAATAAATTATTTTTGGACAAAATTTACTTGTTGTTTTTTTATGTCAAAACGGTACTTACTTTAAAAACACGCCTCGTATAACTCGAGGTACCGACGGAGCTATTGTGGGGCGTCATGGAAATAATTTCAAATTTTTTTTTGCATTTTTTCAAGTGTCGTGCAACGATTTTGCACAATCTGGCAACCCTGTCGCACCCTCACAAAATGGCCGCTGATAACCACAAGTCACCGTGTTGTCATTGAATAGCATGGAATTAAACCTTCAGAGTATAATATGTTTTGTGACTGGTACCAAGAGTTGACAGATCCCACACATGTGTCACTCCTCGAGATGCAATAATCAGCTGTATTCAAATAATGTCTAATATAAATATAACCTAGAATGTGTACTCGTGAAAAAAGAAAAATATGGCAGATTTGTAGTTTTTTTTGCAGGTTTTAGGTTTGATGGTAGCTTTGAGGCGTATATTTGGGAATTTATTAATCGCTGTGAATATAGTGTGGATGTTTGTTCAGTTCCTGAACAACGAAAAATAGTCAACTTTATGGATGTATGGATATCAAAAACCTGAATGGTTTTGTGGGAATATCAATCTAAGGTGCCATAATGGTTCTGATGAACGGCAAGTAAATGAATGAATGTTTGGAAACGAGCAATATCTTTTGGTAGAGCCTGTCATCAAGTAGGTGGTTAATGGTTATCTGCAAGAGGTTTATAGGAAAAAACACCCAGTATCACATATCAATTCAAGAAAATAATATAAAAATGAATAAAACAATCAACAATAGTAATTAAAACATGAATTTAATTCAAAAATCAAACATTTCTTAAAATCTCGACTGAATTATATGTAATTTCTTAATATTCAATAAGCTGGTGATGATTCAATGACAACTTGTCATCTCATACTTTGACAGTATTTTGTTTTCAACATTTCATAGCTATTGGTTGCTAAAATTTGTTGATTGGAACTTGAAGCTCATTCGCTGTATCTGACGGTCTGCTACCATATTGGGCCTTAAACTATCATATATTGGAAGGGAAATCGCGCAGCGAAATCAAAGAGCGCTTGGTGTATGATGACTTCGATGGAGGCGGTCAGACATTGGTTCAACAGTTTGAACGTGGTCGCACGTGGTTTTTGATGAGCCACGCCCAGGTGCATCGGAAGCGGCTACCACGGAGGAGAACGCGACAAGAATCCACGATCTCTTACCCTGCATGGAATATATTGTGCATGAGAAAGCTGGCTGCGTGATGGGTGCCGCGTGTGATCACTGATACTCATTTTAAATCTATCTTGCCCTCTGAAGGTTTTCGAAACGATGGTTCGTTTTGGAGATACAAAACCCTAGAGGATATTAATGGAAACTGGCTTTTCTTCAATATTGTGCGTTCACTGACAAGTTAAAACACCCGATGCAAATGATTTTACTTGAGGTGGATACGGGCAATAAGATTTTAACAAGAAAACATTTTCAAAATAATTATTTTTATTGAATGTCCATTCATTACAAACTGTAACTTAACAATCAAACAAATAATTAGTAAGACATGAGTGCATATATAATAAGGTCACAAGAGTAAACATATGTTAGGATAACAAAATTCAGAAGTCTTTTATTGTTTTTTAATATCCTAGTTATACTCCAGCACAGTAAAATGCTAATAAAGTAAAGTAATATACTTTTAAATCTAAATAAAATAATTTTTAACCTAGGTAAATTGTTTTACCTACACTAATTAAAGAAACTTAATCAATATACTTCTAATATTACTGACTATAATAATATGTATTTATTAAGGACTATTTCCCTCGTCTCCCACCAATCATAAACGCGCGAATTACAAATTGTTTCTAGATGGGAAAATGTATGACAGCAGCTGTCAGCGGCAAAACTTGACAGCTGTTGTCGCCAAAAATTACAATACCTTTGATAACAAGTAATTATCGTCTCCTAAGACACCAGAAAACGACGCTAAACAATTTTTCTGATTTTATTGCCAATACATTTTGGAATATTTTTTTTAAGCCGTGCTAGAGCTTATGTAGTGAAAATGAGTCGCTTTGGAAGTGATTGGCGATTGAGAAAAGTGTATCGAATACCGTTAAAACCAGTACGTCAATATGGAAGCAGTTTAGAGAATTCTGCAAGGCAAAGAAATACGAGCTTTTGGAAACAAACAAGTAACTAAACTAAAAGTTTGTAATATTTTGTGATTAAATAAATTACCGGTTTTTCAGTTTTCAAATTAATACCTACATATTTATTACGCTTGCATGTATAATAGGTAATATATGTTTTGTAGGCTATCTGTAGGCAGAATAAATAATCTGTTAGTCATAAAATAGACTTGTAGTAAGTATAATAATACCGGCACTCATGCTTGTTGCTAAAATATTACTTAGCAACGGGATTTTTAGATTTTTTTTCGTAAAAATTAGATACCCTTCTGATATTACTTATGAATAATTTATATATATATATATATATATATATATATATATATATATAATGCTTCTCAAAAGGCGGAGTCTAGAAAAATTTTTACTTGGGGGCAGTAAACTCATTTTAATAATTCATCAATTTTAAATAAATTGGTGAAGTCAATCCAAGTGAGCGGTTTATTGAATTTAATTAAACTAGTTTGATAAATTCAACTAAACTGTTTTAGAAATCGCAATTCAATTGAACTCGATAAAAAATCCACGTATTCGTCTCGGATTTTTGTTGCCACCAGCACTCATGCTTCTTGTTGAAATATTACTTAGCAACGGAGTTTTTAGATTTTTTCGGAAAAATTAGATGCCCTTATGATATTACGTATGAATTATATTTATATAATGCTTCTCAAAAGGCGGAATCTAGAAAAAAATAACAGTCTTACTTGGGGCAGTAAACTGATTTTAATAATTCATTAATTTTAAGTAAATTGGTGTAGTCAATCCAAGTAAGCGGTTTATTGAATTTAATTAAACTAGTTTAATAAATTCAATTAAACTGTTTTAGAAATCGCAATTCAATTGCACTTGATAAAAACATATTCGTAGTATACTCGGATTTTTGTTGCCACCGGTACTCATACTTCTTGTTGAAATAGTATTTAGCAACGGGGTATTTAGATTTTTTCGAAAAAATTAGATGCCCTTATGATATTACTTATGAATAAATTATTATATAGAATGCTTCTCAAAAGGAGGAGACTCGAAAAAAAATAAACAGTTTTACTTGGGGCAGTAAACTGATTTTAATAATTCATTAATTTTAAGTAAATTGGTGTAGTCAATTCAAGTAAGCGGTTTATTGAATTTAATTAAACTAGTTTGATAAATTCAATTAAACTGTTTTAGAAATCGCAATTGAATTGAACTTGATAAAAACATATTCGTATTATACTCGGATTTTTGTTGCCCACGGTACTCATGCTTCTTGTTGAAATATTACTTAGCAACGTAGTATTTAGATTCTTTCGGAAAAATTAAATGCCCTTATGAATAAATTATTATATAGAATGCTTCTCAAAAGGAGGAGACTCGAAAAAAAAATAAACAGTTTTACTTGGGGCAGTAAACTGATTGTAATAATCCATTAAATTTAAATAAACTGGTGTACTTAATCCAAGTAAGCGGTTTATTGATTTAATTAAACTAGTTTAATAAATTCAATTAAAATGTTTTAGAAATCCGAATTCAATTGAACTTGATAGCTGTCACATGATTGATAAAATTCGTTAATTGGTTTGATTAAACTTTTAATTAAATTGTGATCGAGGCGTTTTACGCGATGGCCTTAAGCTCGAGCTACAGCGTCATCGAATTCGTTATTCGAAATGTGGTACGTAGAACAGGTCATTGAGATGTGCTTGCATCATGATGAGTTGTTTCGTGAAGTTTGAGATCATTTCGCCTCATGGTTTTGTACGGACAATGTGCACATTCATGTATTTTCGCAGTAACGGACGAGATAAAATCTGGATGTTTTCTAATTATATGATCATGTAGTGATTGTTTTCGTTTAAACGACTTGTTGCAATGTTCACATGTTATCAACGTTATACTAGAATCAGCCTCAGGATGCGTTGTGATATGCCTATCCAGCGCAACTTTTCTGACGTTTCTATATGGGCAATATGGACATTGATGTACATTTCTTGTCACCGATTCCGTGAATTCTGGATGTTCTTTAAGCATGTGATTATCTAGCGATTCTTTTTGTTTGAACGACTTATTGCAATGTCTACACGTTCTCAACTTTGTGCTAGAAACATCATCGCGATGCTTCATCAAATGCTTATCTAGCGTACTTTTGACAGTTCTATATGGACAATACGGACATTGGTGAATTTTTCTTGTCACTGACGCCATGAATTCTGGATGTTTTCTCACTATGTGGTCGTCAAGTTCCCTCTTAATTTTAAAGGTCGATTCACAATGCATACATTTGAGGAGGACCAACTTATGGGCTGCGTCAGGATGTACCAGTAAATGATCATCATGCTTCCATTTGTAAACGGTTTTATTTGGGCAATACGGGCATTCGTAGATAACTCTTTTCACCGATTCAGCAAACTTTGGGTGCTTTTTCAATATATGGTCATCTAATGATTTTCTTTGTTTAAAAATCGCGTTGCAATGTACACACGAACTGGATTTGTCATCTTGGTGTGTTTTCATATGACTGACCATATAGCGTTTCGTTGTTGTTCTATAATTACAAGTTGGCACTGGGCATGCATTGACTTTGTAATTAGTGATATTTGGATGAGTCGGCATATGCTTGACCAGATTGTATTTTGTTGTTGTTCTGTAGTTACAAGTTGGAACTGGACATTCATAGATCTTACACGTAACGCCAGACATATGCTCAGGGTGATTTTGTATCATATGATCACCCAAGCTTGTATTCCTCCGGAATACATCATTGCAATATTCACATTCGATCAATTTGATGTTAGCAACGGCATCAGGATGTTTTAACAAATGTGTCTGGAGCTTCTCTTTACGGAAAGTTCTAAATGAACAATATGGACATTGATGTATCTTTCTGGTCACTGACGTTGTGACTTCTGGATGTTTTATCACTATGTGATATTCCAATGCCCTCCCCGTTTTAAAGGTCCCAAGACAGTGTATACATTTATGCATCGCGACTGCGTCAGAATGTACCATTGAATGCTCATCTAGTCTGCTTTTAAAAACAGTTTTATATGGACAATTTCGACATTCGTATATACTTCGTTTAACAGATTTCATAAACTCTGGGTGTTTTTTTACTATATGATCATCCAATCCTTTTCGTTCTCCGTAAGTCGCGTTGCAATGTGGACAATTCAGTTTGTAATTAGAGTTATCTTGATGTGTCAATATATGTCTGTTCAAGTTACACTTACGGAGAGTTTTATAATTACAAACTTCACATATGTATATTTTGCAAGAAAGTGTCGGAACGATCTCTGGATGTTTTTTAACTATATGACTGTCTAAATTCCCTTTCTTATCGAATTCCTTACTACATTGTATACAAACGTATACGTTTGCCGAATGCGCGCTTGTATACGTGGTCAAATTACAATTGCCGACTTTGATGTGTTTGATTAAAGTACGTTTGGTACGAGCTATATAGCCGCAATTATAGCATATGAATGACTCTCCCGTATCTGCTTCCATATCTCCAACGCCTAGTCCTTTTTCCCAGTATTTTCGCAGTCCCACACTGAAAAAGAATACCAACAATTACATTTTGGTCTTGTACTCAGCGTGAGCTATGAACAAACAATATTTTTTTCTGTTTAAGGGAACATCGATCGTTTCTGTTAAAATATGCAATATCGCATGTTGCTGGTTTGGCAACGTTGCGTTGTCTAATAGGTTAGGTTGACAGTTGACAGTTCGAAGTCACTGTTGTATGTTATTCGATAGATGAAGTAATGTTCTGTGACCTAATGTGTGCGGGCGTGTCTATCCGAACTTCCTCCATAATTACTAATCAAAATATAGTAATATTACACCGGCATCGTCTGCAGTTTTATTTCTCTTATCCCCCAAGGCTTCTAATAATCGCCAACAGTTTCAAATAGTTTCATGTTGATGTTATAAAAATTAACACCCATATCGAGAACATAGGACCAAAATTCAGGTGGTGATTCTTCGTTAGACTATACAGGGTGTTTCACAACTTATCCGACAAATTTTAACCACATATGCACTGTGCACTACCATGCCGTCCGAGCGCGGTGTTGCCTTTCTTTCATCACGGCTCGTAGTTGACGTCGGCTGTGGTAAAAGATATCATTGAAATTAACTTGCATCAAGATGAACTGTTTCGTGTAATTTAAGATCGATCCTCCTGATGGTTTTAAATGGACAATGTGCGCATTCGTGTATTTTCCCGGTAACCGACGAGATGAAATCTGGATGTTTTCTTGCTATATGATCATGTAGCGAGTGTTTTTGTTTAAACGATTTATTGCAATGTTCACATTTAATTAACTTTATACCATCAGAATGCGTTATCAAATGCCTATCTAGCCCAGCCTTTTCGACAGTTCTATATGGACAATATCGGCATTGATATATTTTTTTTGTGACTGACGCCATGAATTCTGGATGTTTTTTAAGTATGTGATTATCTAGTGTTGCCTTCTGTTTAAACGTCTTATTGCAATGTTCACACATTATCAACTTTATACTAGAAACAGCATCAGGATGCGTTGTTAAATGCTTATCTAGAGGAGCTTTCACGATAGTTTTATATGGACAATATGGGCATTGATATATTTTATTTGTCACTGATGCCATGAATTCTGGATGTTTTCTAAGTATGTGATTATCTAGCGATATTTTTTGTTTGAACGACTTGTTGCAATGTGGACACGTTCTCAACTTTATGCTAGAAACTGCATCAGGATGCGTGGTCAAATGCTTATTTAGAAGAGCTTTCATGACATTTTTAAATGGACAGTACGGACATTGATGTATTTTACGTGTCACTGATGCCATGAATTCTGGATGTTCTCTAAGTGTGTGATTATCTAGCGATTCTTTTTTTTTAAATGACTTGTTGCAATGTGGACACGTTCCCATCTTTATGCTAGAAACAGCATTAGGATGGGTTGTCAAATGCCTATTTAGTCTGGCCTTTTTGACAGTCGTAAATGGACAATGTGGACATTGATGTATTTTTATTGTCAATTTTGGATGTTCTTTAAGCATGTGATAATCTAGCGTTGCTTTGAGTTTAAACGACTTATTACAATGTTTACATGTTCTCAACTTTTTACTAGAAACATCATCACGATGCTGCATCAAATGGTTACGTAGCGTACTTTTGACAGTTTTATATGGACAATATGGACATTGATGTATTTTTCTTGTCACCGAGTCCGTGAATTCCGGATGTTTCCTCACTATGTGATCATCTAATTCCCTCTGCATTTTAAAGGTTGCTTCGCAATGCATACATGTTTTACGAACAAACTTATGAGCTGAATCAGGATGTATCTGTAAATGATCATTATGCTTACATTTAAAAACAGTTTTATATGGGCAATATGGGCATTCATATATGGTTCTTTTAACGGATTCGGCCAATTCTGAGTGTTTTCGCAATATGTGATTATCTACTGATGCTCTCCGATCAAAAGTCGCGTTGCAATGTGGACATGAGTAGGATTTGTCATATTGGTGTTTTCTCATATGACTGACCATATAGCGTTTTATTGCTGTCCTATACTTACAAGTTGGGAATGGACAAGTATTGACATCTGAGTGTGTCGACATATGCTTGACCAGATTGTTTTTTGTTGTTGTTCTATACTTACAAGTCGGGTCTGGACAATGATGTATCTTACAAGTAACTGCGGTTATATGCTCAGGGTGTTTTTGTATTGTATGATCACCTAAACTTGTATTCTTCTGAAATACCGCATTGCAATATTCGCATTTTATACTAGAAACAGCACCAGGATGTTTCAACAAATGTGTCTGGAACTTGTTGGTATCAAGAGTTCTATATGAACAATATGGACATTGATATATCTTTCTTGTCACTGACGATTTGACTTCTGGATGTTTTATCACAATGTGATCTTCTAACGTCCTCCTCCTCCTAAAGGCCGCTTTACAATGTATACATTTATGCATCGGGACTGCGTCAGAATGTATCATTACATGTTCATCAATTCTATGTTTTATAACAGTTTTATATGGACAATTTGGGCATTCGTATATACTTCGTTTAATAGATTTAACAAACTCTGGGTGTTTTTTTACGATATGATCCTCCAATGCTATTCTTTGTTTAAAAGTCGCGTTGCAATGTGGACAACTGAGTTTGTAATTAGAAGCATCTTGATGTATCAATATATGTCTGCTAAAATTACACTTCGACAAGGTTTTATAATCACAAGTTTTACATTCGTATACTTTGCAAGAAAGTGACGAAATGATCTCTGGATGTTTTTTAACTATATGACTGTTCAAATTGCTTTTTTTATCGAATTCTTCACTACATTGTGTACAAACGTAAAAATTTGCTGTGATTGAAGCTTTTTTAATATCTGTTTTCAAATTGCAATTGCCCGATTTGATGTGTTTGATTAGAGTACGTTTGGTATGGGCTGTATAGCCACATTTATAGCATATGAATGATTCTCCCTTATCTGCTTCCATATCTCCAGCGCCTACTCCGTTTTCCCAGTATTTTCTCTGTCCAACACTGAAAAAGAATATCAACAATTACATTTTGGCCTTGTAGCAAACCTGAGCTTCTGAACAAGCAATATTCTTTTTGGTTTAAAGGAACATCGATCCTTTCAAATAGTTTAATGTTGATGTTATAAAAATTAACACCTATATCGAGAACATAGGACCAAAATGCAGGTAGTGATTCTTCGTTATTCTATACAGGGTGTTTCACAACTTATCCGACAAATTTTAACCACATATGCACTGTTACGAAAGAAGTTTTCTCAAAAGAAAAAAAAATGTAATAAAAGTCCTAAAGAAATTAAGTTATAAACCTATAATAAATTAAAAAATAAATATCTGTATTTTGCGTTCATCGTCGTGATATTAGAACACGCATCAATAATTTGACGAAAACAAAATACCAGGAATTTTTTGTTTATTCATACTGATACGAACGTGTAAATAAGGTTTAATCTGTATCGTGCGTGATCTGAATGAAAAACGGTCGATTTTAGTGGCGATATTAAGAAAGTATTTTGCGAGTTTATGTTTTTAGCTATTTATTAATAAAAATGGCACATATGTATACTTTATCTGAAGTCACTTGAAACACTGTGAAATACCGGGTGCGTTTTATATATCTATATTTAACACGCTCTGTTGCTGCAAAAATCGCCAAATTTCGCAGCAAATATCCCCCGTATAAGATCAACAGCAGTTTCACCGGTCCACGTGGAGTAAAGCACGCCTATGCGTGGACATAGCCAATGAGAAACCGTGTATTTCAGAACTCGGAACAAGTGCAGGTGGATACTGAAAATTGAAACAGTTTAGCCAGTGCCGTGTAGCGGTGAATAAACGTGTTTTCTTTAGTCTGTCCGTGTTTGTTCATAGATTTTATTAGTTTGTGTGTTTTTGACTTTTGAATACTCAGTTTACTTGGGCATTTAATTGTTGTGTTCATTGTTCTTGTGTGTCCTAAATATGTCTCTTTGGAGACCTTGGGAAAATGCTCCAAGCCACGAGGAGATGGTTGATGAACCTGTGCAGGCAGAATTCTTTCATAAAGATTTAGAGGAACAGACCCAAAGAGTAATCCTAAATATGTATGATTGTCTGAAAAACGAAAATTCAGATTCCTCGCAAAATCAAATTTTAAACAGAATTTGTATCCTGACAAAAATGAGTCGGTCTACCATTTATCGGGTTATAAAAAGGGGAGATGTAGTCAACCATTCCTTCCACAGAAAGCGCATAGGGCAAAAATTAAAAAGAATAGATGTGGGTTTTCAGGAAGATATTCGTCGTATAATATACGGATTTTATAAAGAAAATTTGGTGCCCACGTTGGAAATGATACGGGATAAATTAAAAGGTTATCCTGTAGATTTTTATAATTACAAATGCTTAGACTCACTGCACTGTATTGTAAAACTGTGTGGTTTTCAATACAAAAAATTAGATAAAAGAATGGTGATTATGGAGTCGTCTCGAATCGTTGAATTGCGCCAAGAATTTTTGCACAAAGTTAAAATCTATAGAGATCAGAAAAGAAATCTGATTTACCTGGATGAAACGTGGTATGATACCCGTGATGTTGTGCAGTACGGCTGGGTTGACGACAGCAACAAGTGCATTTTAAATGCTCCATGCAACCGTGGAAAACGAATCATTATTCTCCATGCTGGCAGTGAAAATGGATTTATACCTAATGCCTTGCTGTTATTTGCCAAAAATATCAAAGAATCATGTGCCGACTATCATGAGGAAATGACCTCCGACTTATTTGAAAAGTGGATAGAGCAGCAGTTAATACCAAACATTTCCCCAAATTCAGTGATTATTATGGACAATGCGCCATACCATTCCCGACAGAAAAACAAAATTCCGAATACAGGCACAAAAAAACAAGACATTATTGATTTTATGAAGGATAAGGGAATGGAAATACCACAAAAATCAACCAAAGCCATATTATTGGATCTTATTAAAAGACAAAAATTTGAAAAAGAGTATGTTGTTGACAATCTGCTTCAGCAAAATGTCCATGAAGTATTACGTCTACCTCCCTATTACTGCATTTTTAACCCGATTGAGTTGGTCTGGGCTGCTTTAAAAAAAAAAGTAGGAAAACATAATCAGACCCCTCAATTAAGTGAATCGCTATTGGTCACAATAAGAGATGCAGTATCTCATATTGCTGCCACAGACCTATGGAAGCAGTGTTCTAGGCATATTATTGAAAAAGAAAATGAATATTGTGTTTTGCCTCCTGTAAATCCCGTTGTAATTCCTCTACAAGATGACTCTAACGACAGCTCCGAAGACGAGGATGATATATAAATACCTATAATGTAAGTCTTTATATACCTTTTTATATACCTACCTGCTATGTAAATATTTGCCTATGTCAAACGTTGGAATTCTGTAATTTTTCCATTTCTTAACTTTCAGTCAACATAAATTAAACTCCAATATAAGTATTTTTTATCCCAAATCAAAAAAATAAGAAGATAGTAAAATCCATTTATTGTGATATAAAAATATTATTATTATCGTTCTAAATAAATGCCGCACGCATATGATACGTCATGAAATTACAAAGGACGCGCCGACCAAAGGTTTTTAAGCTATTTCAAGTGACTTCAGATACACCATACACTAATGAGGAGTTAGTGGACATTGGAAAACCCGATAGTAACGAAAAACAACCTGTCCAGGCGTAGTCTCTCATAAATATACTACAACGAATAACATAATTCCTTCACCATGCTGATGGAGTGTAGGTCATAAAATAATAATAATAATTAGTCTTTATTGAGAAAAACAAACGGCAAAGTCTAAAAAATTAAACTCTTCTACTTGTAGCAGTAAACTCATTTTAATGATTCATTGGTTTTAAATAAATTGGTGTAGTCAATCCAAGTAGGCAGTGGAATAAATTTAATTAAACGATTACGTTTTGATTTAATTATATTATTTTCATAGATTCCGTAAGATTGGATTTCACAATTTAAAAAAACCATTATTCTGCTTCAAATTTGTCAAGTTAGCGAGTTTCAATTCATACGTTGTTACCAGACATGCCCAAATCATCAGTTGCTGCCGTGATGTTCATCCCGACCACTGCATCCCCACGGCTAGGCGTCCTGTATGTTGAATTTGTGTTGATAGGGCAGCGGGTTATGCTACGAGCTTGTCCGTAAAATAAGTTCCACGGGCTGCCGCTGGCGCTAGGATCGTTGTATGCACAGCCAGGCAGCAGAGGCAGATTGTTTGGTTCCCCCACTCCAATCCCTCACCAAGCCAGCGTCACTGCGACGTTTAGTCTTGGCTCAGCAGCCGTCAGCGATGGAGCTTCCTCTTGCGTCTCCCGCCAGCTGCGAGTTGCGGTCTGTTATTCGTTTCCTGGCCGCTAAGAAGAAATCGGCGAAGGGAATTCACGAAGAACTTTGTCAAGTGTATGGAGAAGACTGTATGAGCTGCGGGATGGTGCGCAGATGGGTCAGGGACTTTAAAAATGGCCGAACAGACGTCCACGACGAAGCCCGTGCAGGGCGGCCATCGGTTTCCGACGAAACAGTTGCCAAAGTCGAAGCGGCAATGCTGGAAGATCGACGGATTACAGTTCGGGAGCTGTGCACAAAGATTCCGGAGGTCAGCAAAACCACAATTGACAAGATTTTGTCTGAACATTTAGGCTATTCAAAGGTCTGCGCAAGATGGGTACCAAGAATGCTCACTGCAGACCACCGGCGGCAGCGGATTGAAGCGGCCCAAGAATTTCTCGCTTTTCACGGAACAACCGAAGAGGAATTTCTGGACTCTATTGTTACTGGTGACGAAACCTGGGTACACTACACCACACCGGAAACAAAGGAGCAATCGAAGCAGTGGAAGCACTCTTCTTCACCAAGAGCAAAGAAGTTCAAACAAATCCTGTCTGCCGGGAAAATCATGGCTAGCGTTTTTTGGGATCGAAAGGGCGTATTGTTGTGCGAGTTTATGCCTCGCGGGACAACAATCAATGCTGACCGGTACTGTGAGACCTTGAAAAAACTTGACGTGCCATTCAGAACAAGAGAAGAGGAATGCTGACGAAAGGAGTGCGTTTTCACCATGACAATGCCCGACCGCACACCGCCAATCGAACCACAGCCCTCATCGAAAGATCTGGATGAAAAATGGTGTCTCACCCACCCTACAGCCCAGACTTAGCACCAAGTGACTTCCATCTCTTCCCTGAGTTGAAGAAAAACCTTGGCGGAACCCAATTCCAGACAGATGAAGAGGTGCAAAACGCGGTTGTTAGTTTTCTACACGGACAGGCGGCAGAGTTCTATGACTCTGGTTTGAAGAAGTGCGTGCCTCGAATGCAGAGATGCATAGAACGCAACGGCGATTATGTAGAAAAATAAAAGAAAGACTGAACTTCCCAAAAATGTATTTTCTTTGCAATTAAACCAATTTTTTGATATGAAAAAAATTTGTGGAACTTATTTTACGGACACGCCTCGTATAAATCATATGTCATAGTTTTTGTGCACTGATTGCAACGGTTAGAGTTAGATGGTACCAAAAATATTTTTATGAATAGGAGATCTTTCCCATTCCGGATCGAACAATCTACCAAATATGCTTATAATCATGATACCTAGTAAATTTTCATGAAAAATCCGCTTTATGTAGGTATATACGAGGGATGTCTTTTAAGTTTTGCATATGGAAATAAAACAACACGGTAGGTAGTTTTAAATGACTTTATTGTTTTTCGAAGTATTCTCCACTAAGATTAATACACATCTGCATGCGCTCGAACCAATTTTCGAAGCACTTATTCCACTCGTTTGCTGGCAGATCCAAAACGGCATTTTTGAATGCGTCAACTGCTTCTTTTGGTGACTGTAACCTTTGACCACGCAGTCTGTTTTTAATTTTCTGGAAAGTGACTGCCGGTTTTGGTGCACCCACCTTGGAATCGTCGCTACGACTCACCCATCCACGTTTGAATT